GCATTTATAGTCTTTTTTGCATGTGTGGTTCTGAAATTACTGTTTTTAACCTCTGCTCCAGAACGCCATTGGCCAGATTCATTTGGTGGTTTATATAAGTTTCTAAATTTCATGTAGGACATGATGCCACATACTTTCTCTTACTATTAGTTTATTTTTGCGCTATTTTCCAGTTCTGTTTTATTGATAGGCATATAATACATGCTTTGTGTATATACTGAATATTTTGTTACTTGGCTTCTGGCTAATCAGATCTGATGATGAAGAGCCTTGTCCCTTTTATGCCAGAATATTTGGCTCAGACTTCCAAAGTGATTGCATATAGTTACATTAAGGATTAATTTTATTTCCTAACAGATATTCTCCTGCTTGTTAGAATTTTCCAACTTTGTCCTTTATATCAAGCAGTAGAAAAGTTTAATGAATATGGCCTCTTTCTACTGGTTTAGATGATGTGACTGTGTTGATTCAGGGCCTATTTATTTGTAAATAATTTAAAGATAAATATTCATTGGATATCTCATTTTTTGAGCTGACTGTATAATTTAAAGCCTACTGTATTAAACTTATGCGTCATTAAAGTTTACAAATGCTGTAAAGCTGGAAAAAAGCTTGCAAACTGGGGGACAGACAACTGGAATACGTATGCTATGCTAGTTGTACAGATGACTAGTATTCTCTTTTTAGCGAAGGTTATGATAAACCTGATCTGAACTGTAACCAAGCAGTCTGTAAGTACTAGTGGCTGGAATGTAAAGCAGTGCAGATTCCAATTAGGAGTATGATGTTCTTAAAGGGAATACTGGGAAAAGGCTGACTCTTAGTCATCTTGCATCTTTTACCATTTTCCTAGCCACTTGCTGTTGGCCACATAAGAGATGGGATACAGGGTTAAATGGAGCTCCTGGTCTAACCTAAGGTTTAACTCTTATGAGTTAAATACAGAATTATTTTTTAAAGGTGGTGGCAACTGATGGAATTAAAAAACAGTCAGGGATACGGTGGTTTTATTCACACAGCTTTGCTTTCACATTTATAATAAAATCTGAAACCAGGTCAGTTTCGTGCTTCTCTTTTTTGCTTATGCGGAGGTGGATATTTTTCACAGATCTGTAAGTTCTATATGGATCAAATTTTGAGTAACTTAGCAGAGATTAATATTTCACTGGTTGTGTCTACACATCTTGTGCACATCTTATGAGCACTCATAAAGAAATCTGGACTTTTTTTTTCTAAGCAGTCACATCTGTGACTGCTGGCTCCTTCCTCAGAACAGTTTTCCATTGTACCAGTGAGAAATTACATCAAGAAAATAAAAATGGTTAAAATTATCTCTCTTCATTCCTGAAGAGCTATTTCTTAACATATATCAGGTCTCCAACCTGGTTTTACTGCAAAGCTCCTTGCTACACCTGTAGCAACTGAATTGAGGGAGTAGTATAAATGTGAGAGTGAGTTTCTGGGGAGTAGGTTTGGGTCATGCTACCACTCAGAGAAATGTATGTGAAATGCAGTCTGTTTCCTAGTTATATTAAACAAAATTCAGTGTCCTGTCAGGGTAGAACTTGCGTTTGATCTGAGGAAGAGCTTTTTGGGAAGACTGAAATCCCCATGCACTCTACAGGGGAAACTGTGGGAGCAGTGTATAGAACTGGGCCGGGCTTAGCAACTGGTGGGTATATGGTTTGGGTTTGAGACCTACGTGATTCCTCTTAACCTCCTGGGAAGCTGGAAAACTTTATGTTGTCAGAAGGCTATTAAAAACTCCGGACAGCTGCTGTCCAAGTCTTTCTGTGTGTATTGTTTTTGTTATGCCGGGCACCCAAATGTTTCGTCTCAAATCCTGATGCTAAGGACTCTTCTTAATGTTGGGGAGTTGTCTAGCTGGATCCTTTCATTTTCTCCAGGAGAGTCTGCTTGCAGGAAGGACTTGTGTGAGTTATCATCTGTTTCGCTTGTACCTATGAAGAGAAAATGTGTGGTGGCACAGGTCGTGCACAGAGGATCAGGCGCCAGCGCTGTGCAGCAGAGCAGCTTGGCATGCGGGGAGCACATGGTGGCCCCCTCTGGCGTGGCCGTGGGCTGCTGGAGCTGGTAGCCAGAGCTGGTGAGAGGAGCTGGGAGCCCTGCTGAGGCTGGCTGCCAGCTGCACTCTGCCAGCCTCCCTGTCGCCAACAGTGCGTCACGACAACTGCACTGGGCACAGGGCAAGCACTAAACTCTTCTGCCCGCCAGTTGAGTCTTACTCCATTTGTGTACTGCTTTTTTCACTTAATATTTACCACCATTGGTTAATGCAGTGATAAGTGATGGATTAGTTTAAAAAAGAAGGGAATACTTTCTTTCTAGGAAAAATATTTTCCACGTTTTTGGCCACATGATATTTAGTGTTCTTCCCTGCTGAGCTAATGCAATTTGTTAAATTCAGGCTGTAAATAGTTCGGTTTCTTTGCAGGGTTGGTAATCTCTGAGCACTGAGAAATTGCAGAGTTTGAAACTACATCTGCTTTTAGAAGGATCTAGGCTTTCTTTCTGTCTTTCTTTCCTTCTCCTTTTTTTTTTTTTTGAACAGACTGATATTCTGATTCCTTTTACACCTTTGTATGGGATCATGTGGGCTGCAAGAAATAGAATTTAACCTGTAGTTCTTAAGTTGTACATTACTGCTACCAAAGACCAGTAACAAAAATAGTATTCTAGAGCAGGAAAAGATACTAAGCCTTTGAAATATTTTGTTCGTTTTCAAGTTCTAGACTGGTCAGCAACAATAGAATAAAAGCGTATAAACGTTTATTTGGTATGATATGAGGGGAAGGGTATGTGACAGGATCATCAGCAAAACATTTATTTCAGTGCAGAGCAGATTCATGAGCTTATGATAGATTTTTATATGAAGAGTTTGTGCAGTGAGAATGGATTATGGAGGCAGTATGAGGGGTGCTGCAGTGTGCAGAATTTGGTAGGAGCAAGTTCTTTTTTTCCTCAGCTTCGAAAGAAAATGTATTATCTATAGCAAAGTATAATTTATTATAATAAAGAAAAAATTTTCCCCTGAAATGCATTTCCTGAAGCATGAGGACAAAAAGGCTCTTGAGATGTCAGATTTATAAATTCTTTTTACTTCTTTAGCTGCCTTTTTTGCTTTGTTCAAGAGGTTTTCTTGTGTTTGGACTCGCGCACACATTCATCCCGCTTCGATTTCTCCCGTCCTCCTGCTTGTCAAAAGTCACATTTCTGTAGGGTGAAGGTGAAGTGAAACGGAAAGTGATTTATGTCTTCTCTATCTTTTTTCCCTGCTTTCATGTTTATACAAAGCCTGACTGAATTTTCAGTGTTTTCACATGCCAGTTTCCTGCTTATTATTTTTTTTCGATAGCACCCAAAGGCCCTCACTGAGGTGCTATGCTTGGCACTGCACACACAAACACATACATGATTCTGCCCATCAAGGCAAAGGGTAAGAGAAAAGAAGATGCTATCTGGGGAACTGAGGCAAAGAAAAGCAAAGTGGCTTTCCCAGCATCACACAGAATTATGTAACAAAGCTGAAATTTGATACAAAATTTTTGAGTTTTTCCTAAGAGTCACTGCAGACAGCCCTCTCCTGGTTTGTATTTGATTTGATTTGATTTTGGAAACGCGCATCTTCTGCCCTGTCCTCTCCATCTTGCTCCCAGTTGCAGCCAGAAGTTTAAACATGTTCTGAAATCACAGGTAGTCACAAACAAGTGAAACTTGTGAAACTTGAGGAAATGAGAGGGCAGAGAGTATTTTAATGAAATTGTTCAGTTGTTCATACAGGAAAGATGATTGTCCATTTACTTTCCACAGAGGCACATCAGTGTAGGCAGACCTACACTGATGAGAAAGGCATCTGGTACTGTAGCCTACTTTGATTTGGTACTGTGAAATAAGCAGTCCTGGGGAAAAATCATCTTACTAGTGTTTCTACCTTTACCTGGGTGAACCGTTTACACTCTTCCCTCTCTTTACTGAGCAGAGTGTATTTATTGTACGGAAATGATCTGACAGTAAAAGTTCTGTTGCTATAATAAATTTGCCGTGGTGGTCTTGATTGTGAAATTAAGTGGAAGTAAAACTGGATTAAAACAAAACTTATTTTACATATTACTTCCTTGACAAAGGAATAAGGGAACTTGGAAGAAGCATATGGGCTCCCACTTAGCATCTCTTTGACCAATGTTAGATTTAGGACCACAGTTGTTTTCTTTCACAAACTGTTGGCTTTGTTTTGATGTAAATCTACACTAATTTATGGCTGCGAGTCCAGGGGTGGACTCCGTACCAGCACATTCCTGAAAAAAATTCCTGCTGCCAACTGAACATAGCCAGCTCGTAGCCTGGCTATGGGGGGGTCCATGGTCTTCCTCAGCAGGCTCCGGCTGCCTGAAACACTATCTGCTCTGGGGGTACAAAGTATTGGGAACCATTCAGGAAAAATACAGCCATATGATGTCCCAGCAAGATTTGAAGGTGGCCAGGCCAGACATGGCCCAGTATGCTCAGAGCTGTGCTTTCCTCTGCTCCAAGGTATTGGCTGGGCCTGAGCTTTTTCCTTGTTTTCTAGAGGTTATGTCTATACCTATTAGAGGTGGGATTTGGGATCTGGGCTCAGGTTCAGGACTGTGCTCAAGATGCAGCATGGATTTAGCCTGGCAACTGGGGAAGGATGTGTGTGGATTGACACTTCATGGTAGCAAAAGCTGAATTTGCCAGTTGGCCAATGTATCAGTGGGACAGGCTTGGTTATAACTGTCATTGCAGTTTCCTGATGAGGAATTACAAGAAAAACAAGAAGTAAATGATAAATGACTGTGGGAGAAGTCAATGAGAAAATATTGCCAGACTGCAGTGGAGGCATATTTATTCTTAGAAGTCTGCTCATAGTACCTTGTAATGTTTTTCTTATGCTTGAATATACATCTGAGTATAAAGATGTATGATTATCTACATTACTTTTCTTTTTTCCTTTCTCACAGTGCATGCCAATTAAAGGCCTTGGATTTGTGCTTGGAGCCTACAAATGTATTTGCAAGGCTGGATTCTATCATCCCAACATCTTTTCAGTGAACAGCTTTCAGAGTAAGTGCCTTTGCTTGTGTTAAAAAAAAGTGAAAACAGAGATAGCATTAATAATGCAGGGTTATACACAGTAAAATCCCAGTGGTTTGCAACTCTCAGATTATATAATCACTTAAGGAGTTCTAGCCCTTTGGTTTGTCATTGGTGGGTGATACTCTTGAGGATCTTGTAAAAGATACCTTCTTTAAGCAGATTTGATTTGTAAATAAATTTAAAAATATGAAAAGAAGTCTCTGGTGCCTGTGATCAAGCACAAGTAATGAGGAAATAAGTCTAGTCATTTTCTTTTTTGTTAGGGCAAACTGGAATGCCCTAGCCTCTGGCTTTGCGCCTGTTTTCATTGGTTTACCCCATTTGCAAAGGAGAATCCAAGGGAGCATCCAGGCTCTCAGTCTTACTGATAGCACGCTAGAGGTGGTTCAGATCTGTGACTGCATTGTCTTGGCTCTATCATATGGATGACATATACAGCCTGCACGTTCCGAGAAAACAAGTTGTCATGTGGTACTTAGACTGAGTTGTCCACAGGAAGGGCAACCGAGCTAAAATGATATATAGCAGGGAAACTATTAGCCTATATATAAACTGCTTCCTAAATCTCTATCTATTACTTTCACTGTATGACCCAAGTGTAGTCTCTGCACAGATTTTGTGCCAGAATTGTTACAGTTATACTAGTACAGCTCACACTGCAGTTGCAGGTGTAAAGGTGTTGCTTGAAGGTGTAGTAGGATGTCGTACTCTTACTTCGATGTTCCCAGCATCTCAGCGCCATCCGTTAGACAAAGGCTCATGTCCTTACCACCCTGCTGACGGAGCAGTTCCTATGGGATGCCCAGGGGAATGGTAATGAGAAACTTTCACCAAGCTTGATCCAGAACTGTGGGTATTATCTCCTACCTTGGGGGAGTATAGCTATTTCTGTTCCAGTATAGAAGCAGCTCTAGTAATATTGAACACTCACCTGCACCTCTCTGCTACTCTGCGTCATAGATACCTTGGGGTATGCTGAGGTAGATAAAGTGGTGCCAAGTTGACCATGTAGACATGCCTGAGATTTCCATTACATCTTTTCCTTATTAGTGACTTAGATATAGATACTAATTATTTTTTATTTCCCTGCCTTGCAACTTCTAGAAAACAAAACGTTTAGACATAAGAGAAATTTTATCTGAGTGCAAGATGAAAAGGACACCATAAAGAGAGGACTGGACAGACTTAACAGCCATATTTTGAACCTCTGCTGTAACACCTTCTATGTTTGGGTTAGATTTTCCCCTATTTTACACAAGTTACAAAGTTTAGAAAAGAAACAAATGAATGCTGGAGAAGAAACTCATCCTGCTTAAATGAATATGAAAGTACTTACCAAGATGTTTTAGGCTGGTAAGAGATGTGTAGGACTGTATGACATGGCACTAGTGAAAACATGCCCCATGTTACGGTGTTCCTGATAATTGGGTTAAATATATTATTCAATGTGAACTCAGTGGCTGCGAATAAAGCTTCCTGGCTCCTTCCTGTATTAGTTGCTCATAAGCTCTCCTTTTTATGTGAAAAGTGGTGAGGACTGTAGTTGGAAGGTGTGTAGGTCTTTTAATTTTAGGAAAGCCTTAGAATTCCCAATTTTTTTACAACCTTGAATTCCAGATATTAATTCCTTTGGCTTGTGTTATGGCTTGGCCCATTTTTTAATAATTTGATCGTGTTTGATCAGCTAAATATCTGAGTCCTAGCCCAGCATATGTCAAATCTCCTATAAATATATGTGACACAAATAGCACAGTGGGTTTGTTCAAAAGTTTATGTGGTGAATGCTTGTTTCCCTTCCTTTTTCATACTGTGCAGTATCATAAAAGGCAGCCTAGTGGTATTGCTTTTTTTCTCTGGGCTCTGTATGAATCTTTTAGTAGAGCAAGGCAGATGCTTGGTTTCCCCTGGAGTGCAGTGAATTATAATGGAGACAGAATTTAACTCCTTGCATGAGAATGTGAAAAAAAAATCGTTCTTAGATTTTTGTCATGTCAAACCCACAAAACACACAGAAATAATGTGGCTAGAGATAGTAACAACTATCATTGATCGTTAGGGATGGGATTCATTTTATGCCACGTTAGCTGTCTAAAACGTAGGTGCTTGGTGTGTATAAGTCATGTAGGCTTCCTTTGTAGTCAGTGGAGAGAGTATGGCTCCTTTAGAGGGTAATCCTACTACTTTAGATATTTGCTCTAAGATGGAAGAAGTAACTCTTCAGGCGAACAGCCTTTTCCCTTTGTTTATTATAAGAGGAGTCTATATGGCTAATTTTGATTGGATATTTAGCTTCTAAATGACTAAAGTGAGTGAAATTTATCTCACATAAGTGTTTGCGTATGCATACATACTTAATAGGATGTAATTAAATGATAAGGGGTAACTTTATTTTGAACTTGCATTACTGGGAGTTACCATAAATGTGTTTGGAAAAGGTCGTTAAAAAAGAATGGCTTTAATTCATCTAGATGCAGCTCAATCTGCCCAGCTCTGCAGATCATTTCAAAAAGTGAACAGAGAGACAGCTAGTGTGAGACTGGAAAGGACTGTGAGGTAATGGAAGAAAAAACAGTGGTTTAAGCGTCTTAGCCCTATCAACACTGTATTCTGAAAAAAAAAAAGGAGAAAGCAACAAGGTTAAAATGGCTGCAGTAAGTATTTGGAGATTCAAAATGATGCTAATAAAAAAATTCTAGACATGAATCATTAGAGCAGTTTTGACAGAAGCTGTCTGACCTGGAGATCTCTGTGGAGATAGGCTGGTGAAGTCAGATGATAAGAGATAACGGGGTAGAAGTGTTAAAGATCTGTAAAATATTCCTAGAGGAAGTAAATAGACAGAAAAGATTTGGAGGTCTTAAGATGTCAGTAGGTAGAAGGTAGGTAGATAGAAGAAAAATTGACCAGGTCTGTACTTCTGTGGATTCAAAAATTGGATTGAGCGTGTTATATCTTGAAATGTGAGCATATCTAAATGATCTTGGGATTCTGCACCACAGCAAAGTTACTTTAACTACAGTTACATAGCGTGCCAGAAATGACAGGGTTTTAGGTGGAGGAAGGGCTTTACGATAGGTCCAGCTGAAAGTTTTGCTTTGTATTTGAAAGATGGCTCTGTAAAATGGCTGTGGAAGGATATTAGACCCTGCACGATTTGCTCAGTGGGCAGGCTTAAATTAAAGGATCGCTACTCTGCCTCCTCTGTAAATGCAGCTTGGGCTCTGAAAGCCAAGTTGACATGCTGCATGCACGGTATCCACAGTATCCTGGAAAGATTCTCCAGACCAGTTGCTTTTCTGACTTAAAGCAGAACAGTTTTGCTGCTCCCAGGAAGGTTGCCTGGTTTATGCTGAAGATTTCAGAAATGTGGCTGAAGCCATTTTGGGACTGAAATTTAGACCTTTCTGTTACTCGTGAGGAAGTCAGACAAGAGAGCACTTCCCCTCTCAAAGCTGGGTTTATTCTTCAGAACTAACGGTGCCATAACGTGTAAAACCTTTCTTTTGTTGCTACATTTGTTAGTGAGGACCCTGGGTATTAATAGGGCATGGAGCAATTGCCTTTTCCGTCTTTTGAGAACAGAAATTCAAAAACATATATATATTTATATTTCAGGTATGCAAGTTAAATTAACCTACAAGTGTTTGAATAAGCACTTTCTACTAACAGTTCATGTTTAAGTAGCTAACTTTGAGTATTACTAGTATAGGTAGAATAGATTAATTAGTGAATGCATACATTTTAGCTTTTTTGTAACACTCTCCACCCAACCACTTTTGTTCTCTTCCCCCCTAGATTAATTAGCTGTGCTTTGGAAGATCCTTAGAAGAGCAGCAGTGTTTTGGTCAACCTAAAATTGCATCCTTTAGCAAGACTTTATCAGTATATTATAAAGACTCCTCCATTCAGCTCTTGCTGTATGGATGTGGAACCTGCCTTGTGCAAAAGGGTGCTTGCACCAGTGGTAGCTCTTTTGTCTGGAGATGAGACTCTAAAATCTCTCTAACGGTGCTATGTTCACATTAATAGTCCTAAGAAGGGTTTCCAGCTTCACTGGAATTCCCATTTTTTACGCCTGCTCTTAGGCTTTGGTTCTTCGGCAGAAGTCATACATGTAGACCTGTGCACCTGCAAAGACTTTCACTGCCTTCAGCGAGATCTTTGTAGGGTGAGGATTATGACCATGGTTGATTACACCTTTGAAATGCAGGCAGAGCTAATTACAGTCACACACTATGTTTAAGTTATGCAAGCCGCACGACTTTAATGGTGTAGTTCCTAGTTTACACTATTATAAAACAAGAGCAGAATCGGCCTTTTGTTCTGCTCAATGCTCATCATTCTCTGAGAGTTTGTCTATTGGGTGTTGGGTTTCGACTGGAGAGTGGGACGATTTTGTTTGGGATGGTTGTAATTCCTGCCCTGGCACTTAGCAGTCTGCAGTACCGTTCTTACCTTGCAGAGACATCTCATCTGGTAATACAGCAGCTGGGAGACACCCATGGTACAGCACAGTGTATATGGGAGAAATAAGGTGAAGAAGAGTTACCCTCATGAAATTTTCTTAGGAGACCATTTCAAAACCAGCGATGGGTTGGTCAGACAGAAAAGGAAAGCTGGGATAGGAGGGACAAAAAACAGGAAAAAATGGTAGCAGAGGGGTCGTGGTCCCTTTAAAGTTTCTTGTTTCCCTTTTCCAGTACTCTGGCATTTTCTTAATTATACTTCATATTAATTTGTGTCCCTAACCTCCCTTCCACCAACTCTTTGTGTTATTTTCTCCTTTCATTTCCCCCTTTTTTTTACTTCCTTTTCTGTCTTGTTCTGTGTACCTTCCTTATCCTGTCCTTAAGTCTAGCTGCTGCAGCACAGAATCAGTGTTGCAGTGTTTGATTCCATCTCGTATGTATCAGTGGTAAAACTGCTTCTGACTAACAGGGAGCAGCATTGGCTTCTTGCTTGTCCCCCTCCACCTCACCAATGTTTAAAATGTTTTGACATGTTCAGTTTGGAGAAGAAAATTTGTTTTTTTTTCCTCTGCTGAAACCATGTTTATTCCCAAAGAGCTGCTGAAATAGAAAAAGGCATGGCGCAATGAAAACACGGCCAGCCAGTGCTGCAAGAGGCAGTAATTTCATGCTTGGGTTGGACTATCTATGATTTGGATGGATGCTAAATTGACTTTGATCAGGGGACGGTGGCCAAACATAAAAGGCAGAGCTGTTCAACCTTGCAGTGTGTTGCAGTGTTGTGGGGTGTCTAGTCAGGGCAGGGGTGTGGATGGGTTTAAACTCCCTTTCTGAAAAAGCTCCAAGTTAGCAGAAATGCAATGATTGGTTATTTCCAAAGAACATCTCTTAGATGGTCATTATTTTGATGATCATTATTTTCTGGTATGGAAAACAAAAGGATGAGGATTGTACATAACTCCTTATCACATGAAGAATCTGAAGTAGATCTAATAGATATCTCTTCTATATTAGCTATAATGAAGAATCATTTCCAAGTCAAAAGATAATCACCAGATAATCAGTCATAGCTGGCAGTACAGGAGATGCATATTGATGATCTTTCTTTGTATACAGCTGAAAGCATTACACCAGACTTATCTAAGCAAAAGTTTGCTGTTGAGTTATGAAGTCATGTCCTTGGGATATTTACTGTAACGTGCAGCTGTTTATCAGCTATTATCCACATAGCTTGTGACGAGCATAAACATGAAGAAACTTCCATGCATGACTCAGATAAGAAAATGCTTGATAAAATGGATTATAATCTATTTTCAACAGCTTTCAAGGCTGAACATTTTAGAAATGAAGTAAGAATCTCAAATTTAGGACCATTAAAAATTATTAAGCCATAGTCACATAGTATTTGTGACTTAAGTATACTCTTAATTCTCACTTTTTAATTATATTTTTTTACTGCTTAAGTTGTTACATTCAAAATATTTTAATTTATTTAGTTACCACAGTAAACATGCATTAAAGAATGGCTCATGTGTAACTCAGAAATGTCAGGTTTAAAGAGATTAGGCAATGTATTAGGAGATGGGCTAGTTGAAGAGTGATTCCTTCTTATGGAAATGCTGAAGGAACAGATGGAGGGTTGAAAAGTAGGTTTCCATAAGTGTAAATATAGAAGAAATGAAATAGAAACTCTGTCAGTAGCGCGCTCTTAATTTGAATGTGGAGATGGGAAGTACGTGACTGTGACTTCTGTCTCTTTCAGAAGGACAGTGCTGTTCCATTGCTCTATCTGTAATTTAGAAAATAGAGATATAAAGTTAGACATAGAAAAGATGGGTTCCAGCCCATCCACCCCCTAGCTCTTGGATGATAATGAGCAGATGAACACGGGGTGGTACAAAGTGAAAAGAAATTCCACGACTACGATATCTGCAAGATTAATGATTGTTAAATGAGAATTAAGGCTGATCATAATTCATCCTATTGAAAAAAAAGTTGAGAAAGTAATAGACAGCTTCCTTAGAGGTTCTCCATCTTCTCAGGCTGCCCAGGCATGGTTATTTTCTAACATTTCCATTCCTGCCTTCCACAGCCTGAGTCGAGGTCAAAGGGACCCAAAACCTCTTCTTAATTTCTGTTTGTATCTAAGGGAATCTGGCTGCCAGCATTAGTCAGAAGCACTCTACTGTATTCAGGTTTCTAGCATCTTTGTTTAGAATAAAGCTCCAAAGAGAATTCCACATTTTTCATGAAAAATATCTGCCTGCTTTCTACTTGCCATGGAAAGCAGGAAAAAAGCATCCTTACACCAAGGACCATCAGAAACAGCATGTCAAATAAACAGACTTGGATATGCAGCCTGTTTACTCCTTTCCCAAGCTTTGTCTCTCAGTAAATGTGTGCTCATGTACATTCATACATACATTTGAGAAAGGAAGAGATAATTACCCTTATAGATAACCTTCTGTTTCAAACATTTAAAGATGAAAGTCCAGAGTGTTTTATAAACCAATGTGCATGTGTAACATCACTGAAATGAAAATCTCTTGAATTAAGACTAAGCAATGCAAGATTTATTACCTTCATTGCTGGAGGAGGAGAATTTTGATCAAGGATGTTGGAGCAATTCTCCAGTCATGTGAAAAGTGAGAAAAGTTAGCATGTATGCATTTTGACACACCTGGAAACTCCTAAACCTGTCTTGCTTATATTATACATTTTCAGCAAGTTCAGCTTGCCTTCTTATTTAACACTATTCTTTTTCCCGTCTTCCTTTCATCCTTACATTAAATGCCTGTAGGGTAAGCACTCTCGCAGGGGGTTATGAACGAGTGTTTATGGATGAGGAAAAGCAAGAATTCTCCTCTGTGCTCTGTTGGTGGGTTAACTTTCACGGGCAAGGTGTCAGCTGAAAGTGAGAAAATGCTGAGAACCATTGATTTACATGGATACAATATTAGCTTGCCAATAGGATTTTGAGCATTCCTGGGTGTGCTTGTGTGGATGATGGAAAATTATATTTGGTGTAACTGCACTAGTTTTTCTTTGGGCACAGAGTAGTGTAATCATAGAGCAGTATGCTCACCAAATGTTAATTAAGAAGGGTTTTATCTAATTTGAAGCTAACCAATTCACTACATAGCATCTTTATGAGATTGAGGAGCAACCTGAAATAGGATGAGAGCTTGTACTGTGAACATTGTAGTTAATGAGGTCTGCTCTCCATGTGTCTGTGTATAATCCTTTCCTTGTTCCCAAATCTTTGATGTAATTTTCTCCCCATTCAGAAGTCTCCTTCAAAAAATTTCCCGTGCCATTTCATCCCACTTTAAATAGAATGGGAAAACATTTGGCATTTAGTAAGCTCACTTTCCCTCATGCCTGAATTGGTTTCCATTTTCTGAATATGGCAAAAGGGGGTGAAATGACAAAAGCAGCCCTGGATAACGCTCCTATAACTTAATGAAAGAGGAGAAGAGGGAAGGAAAGGGAGTCAGCAGAGAACTGTTTTGCTCCTGTATGGATGAACTGCCTATATTGTACAATTAAAAATGTCTCTCCTTACCTCATTTGATATTTTCAGGAAAGGATGCAGATAATCGTTTTTCTGGGGGTGAGTTGTCGGAGGAAGTCTACACCTGCCTGCCCTGCAGGGAAGGATGTTCATACTGTACAGATGATACTCCCTGCTATGCACAGGAGGACAAGTATTTGCGGCTCGCTATTATCTCATTCCAAACGCTCTGTATGCTGCTGGACTTCATAAGCATGCTGGTAGTCTACCATTTTCGCAAGGCAAAGGTAAGGAGACATGTTTCACTTTAATCTTCCTGCTCACTGTGTGGTACAGACTGACTCATTTGTACTGTGTGAAAAGCTTCTCATTTTGACAGTCAACTTCTCAGCTAAGGGGCTGAACTCCTTTTCAGAGGGGATTTCTAAACAGGAGTGCTTTGCTTTAGTCATGGACGTAATCTTTGAAAAAACGCTGAGCAACTTGTGGCTCCCAATGAAATCTGCTTACATTTGTAGGCAGTTGGCATAAATCAAGGAAACCTATTGTTTCCTAGGTCGTTTCAGAAAATCAGGCCAATCATGCAGGTGCCCAAGGTGCAAATATGTGTATTTGTAGACTCTGGATCTTGAAAGTCTCCATCTGTTTGGAAGGATGTTTGGCTTCAATATATTTGAGAGAGTGGTTGGATAATAATTACATCAAAGAGAAATCTTTCCAAATAGCTCTAGTTCGCCAACAGCTTAAACTTAATTCTGTAGCTAAAGTTTTTTTTTTCTCTAAAGTAGGAACATATTAAGGAGTGTTTGAAAATTACTGGTGCAATCTACAGTTATGCGTCATACACTCCTCTAATGAACTTTGTGCTTTTACCTCATTCAAAATATTTTTACATGTAATATCTCATGCAATCTCTCTAGTGCCTCGATAAATACAGAATAGTCTTAGAAACTTCCAATTTACAAAAAAATAAAAATGAATACAATCTAGCACATATTCACTACCTACGTTTAGAAGACGTAGGTGTGCACACAGTATGCTATATTGTTGAAATTAATATCTTCATCTAGTTTCCATAACTAGATAAGCATTTCCGTTTTAGTGTCTGCCACACTTGACCCCCCAAACTTCCTAATCCTGCAATGTCTGTATTAGAAATGTATCTCTTCTTAATATCCTGGCAAGAAGTCATGAAATGAACTGTAAAATTTTTCTCTCTCTTCTGTTTCTGACAGAGGCTTTGTATTTAATGAAATTGCATAAATTGATTCAAATTACAGACTTGACTGTATTTATAGATTTTTCATTATGGAAAGTCTGTTGTAGGCATCTCTTTAGTTGCCTAATGCTAATGAAGCAAAAGAACTTCATTCCAATTCTGTGAGGTTTTAGTTCTTATGGTGATATTACTGTCTTTTAATGGCTGTGTTAAACAGACAACATCATGAAAAGAAGTATTCTTCATGAATTAGAAGTTGTCTGTAAGCCTGCAAAGTGAACAAAGCAGATTATTTTGTACCCAGCTATTGCAAGTTTGTTTTGATTTTTTTTCCCTTGATAAAGTATGGATTAAGTTTCGTATACCTAATGCGGAAGTAGATGACAAATAGAACGGGGAAAATTTCTGTGCTTTCTCATAAGCAGTTCAAGATCACATGTGAATGAAATTACGTGCGCGCGCGCACACACACACACACACACACGTTTTGATATATGTATCTACTATTGTAAAAAACAAACACGTCTTTATTAAACACATTACAGAAATCTTGTATTTCATAAAAATTGCTAGTAGTGAAAGGTACATTTATATTTTTGTGGTGATCAACCATTCTTCCAAAGTAAACTGTGAACAAAGAACAAGAAAGGAAATGACTATTTAATACCAAAACAAACAAAGAGGCATTTACATGCCCTTCTTCATTTCTAAATAACTTTTCAATCTTTATAAAAAAGCATAAGCCAATTTTTTCCAGATTACCTTTAGAGATTCATGATGACCTCTAAATAATTGAGAACCAGATGTGAGACAAAACAAATACTTTTATTTTCCCAGACAGAAAAGGGGTGTCTTTGAGACACTGCATTTCATTCAGTTGGACAGAGATGGATTTAATTATAAATTGGCTATCTTAGAAGATATTTGACTCTGCTCTAAATATATATCTCACAAGGAAAAGATGAAGAAAAATGAGACAAAAAAGTAGTATGGTGATTAATAATCTTTTCCTGAATGATCAATATCTTCAAGGAATAGAAACTGAAAAATAATATTCCATTGCTTTTCATATCATTCAGCTGAGTTTTTTCTTGATTTCTTTTTATGTTCTTTATCTTGTTGGTACAGCATGATTTTAAAAAGAAAAAGATGTTGTGTGATTAACATGAAACGAGAAGCTGTATGAAGGGCAAACATACCGAGAACAATGAATATTTGCATAAGAAAACTGCTGGTTACATTGGATAATGACAGAAAATTGGAGTGGATGAACAAAACTGGTAACTGGCCGTGTTCTCTCTGCCAAGAGGGAAAAGTCATGAAAATGAAAGAAAAGCTATCAGAATATTCAAAATATCCACACACTGAGTATTCCTAACTGTTAGTGGAACAAACCTGAATTAGGTTAATATAGCTATGAGTGATTAAAGTTACTATGTAAAACTGTTCGTATCCGTTGTAATAAGTAGATGTTGGAGAAGGGCATTTTTTGGACCGCCTCCCACATACGGGACTACAATAATATTCAAATAGTTTAGAAAAAGTAACTTTTAATATTGAATTTTAACAGAAAGAACTATGTTCTGCTACCATATTAGGAAGCAACCTTTAAAATATGTAAAACTGCAAAATAGGGTGCTCAACATTAAGAAATGCTATCTAAAGGCCCCAGTGCTGAAAAGAATGAAGCGTAGATATGTGGCATTTTGGTATAGCTGCTAATCAAAAGCTCAGTAAACTGCGGCGACAAGTAGAGTTACTGCTGCAGTAAAAGTGACTCTGCAGAAGAGAACGCTGCTTTCCGTTTGTACTTTATGGAGACTCCTGGTAAAAATTAATTGCAAAAAGTCAGGGTCCTGCAGAAAGTACCTTGGCAAAAAGCATCTCGGGCACCTTGACTATCATATTGTAAGCATAATAATTCAGACAGCATGATAATTCAGACCACAGGAATCTTTCAGATCATGATGGGGTTGACCATCTTGGTCCCAAAATCCTGCATATCAATAAGAGTAGATGCAGATGAGAAGTATTTTAGAAAAGGGGAAGAATATCTGTCTCACCTATTCAGGTCACAGTGAGTACACATATTAAGACCAAGCAGTACTCATAATGGAAACTGCTGTGGAAGAATCACTTACCGATTTCAGTTTCATCAGCAATGCAAGGTATGTGCCAGATCTAAGGCAGTTACTAAAGGTGTTGGTAAGGAGCTACTGCCCCACTCTGAAAAGAGAACACAGCAATGAGAAGAAAGGTGTTTTCATTAATTGCTTTCAAAGTGCTATTGACAGAACGTGAAGATACAACTTACCCTTTATGACATGGTCTTCATTACTAACCTAGGAAGTAATAATAATAATCGACAGGGAAACCTGGTAAATGCCAGCCAAAGTGGTTTCATGAATGAAAGATTTTGACAAAATGAACGGTAATAAATCAGCAAATCCAGTTGGTATTCACCCAAGGCCTCTAAAAGAACCCTTCTACAAAATTACTGAATTATTTACTGTGGTGTAAGCCACTGCTTACATTAATAGCAGTACAGGGGAAATGGAAGATTGAAAATGTAATATCCACATTTGAAAAGACTTCCAGTAATGATAAGAAGAACTAAAGATCAGTTAGTCTGACTTGCACTAACAAATTCATAGAAACAATAGTAAAGACTAGAACTAGTAGATATATGGATAAGTATGAGAAATGGCCTTTTGTAAGAATGTGATGTTCTACAAATGTATTTATAGCTCCGTGAAGGTGGATTATGAGTATATAGGTAAGGGTACTTTTTCAAAGGTACACTGCCAAAGGTTCTTAAAAATGATGTTTTCCAGGGGCTAACAGAGAAAGACTTCTTGTAGATAACAGAGAAATGACAGAAGAGAAGGCAGTGCAGAAAATACAGTATAAAACTATGAATGGCATGGAGAAGGTGAAGTGTGAGCAACTGTTTACTGTTCCTCGTAATATGAAACTGGAGGATATTGTAGGGATCTGTCAAATGGTTTAAAAAAAGCAAAAAACCCACAAAGTAGGTGTATTTTTTTGCACAACTTTTCATTACGTTATAGCACAGAATGCCGTGGAGCCCAAAGTATAAATCAACTCAAAGAGAGTTTAGGAAGAATCATATCATGGATGTTTTCTTTGTTGACTGTTGAAACACAATGGTTTTGGTGAAACTTCTGGTTCAGGAGTTGGTTTGATTGTTGGAAACTGGGAGGATAGACCAGGAAGGATTGTTGTATGCTACTCTCCTTCTTTAATAATTCTTCTTTAATAACAGGCTGTTCCTTGAGATATGACGCTGTAGACTTGCACAGTACCATTTGAGAGATGGAAAAACAAAATATCAAAGAGACAAATCAAGAATCAAGTCATTTGTCTGAGACACAATTATGCTAAGTTATCAGCGGTAGTACTGACCAAAATCTTGGCATTGCCAACCTGTAAATGGAACTAAAAAGGAGTGATTTCAAGCAATAGTCAGCATTGGCAAACAGTTCAAAATGGAACTACAGAACGATACTGTGAGAAAACTCAGATCAATACTGAGGAATTCATTTGAAGCTTTGCCAAGCACAGATGAAAGTAACAGGTTAAGTAAAACAGGCATAGCTCAGCAGCAAAGTCATTTAACTGCAGGAGTCGTAACTGGAGAAAATATCACGGGTGGAAAATGTGGCTCTTTACAGAGAGAAGAATGCAGAATGGTAAGAATGGTAAGAATAACAAAATTTTGGAAGAAGGCGCAGAAGGAGTAGCAAAAGATAAACTACTAATGAAACATATTGTAAGGAAAGATAGAGGCAGCTGGAAAAGGTAACAGAGAAAGCAGATGCTGCTGCTGTAGCAGGGAAGTGCAAGCAATTTAGCAGGAGATTAAATGGAGGAAACGCGCCAAAGTCAAAGGAAAAAAATTCAGAGCTAATACAGAAGGGAAAACAGATGTGCAGATCATCTCAAAGAAATTTTTAACTACTCTAGACAACCCTAATGCCAAACTGTAGTGAAAGTTGGGAGCCCTTAACTTGTCATTAACACAAGAGGCTGAAAAACACCCAGGAG